AGTGTGTGTGTGAGTGAGGGTGCTGGGAGTGTTAGGGGTGCAGTGTGTGTGCTGTGAGTGTTAGAGGTGCAGTGTGTGTGCTGTGAGTGTGTGAGTGAGGGTGCTGTGAGTGTTAGGGGTGCAGTGTGTGTGCTGTGAGTGTTAGGGGTTCAGTGTGTGTGTGTGTGTGTGTGAGTGTCAGGGGTGCAGTGTGTGTGTGAGTGAGGGTGCTGGGAGTGCAGGTGCAGTGTGTGTGTAGTGAGGTGCTGGGAGTGTTGAGGGGTGCAGTGTGTGTGTGAGTGAGGGTGCAGTGTGTGTGTGTGTGAGTGAGGGGTGCTGGGAGTGTCAGGGTGCAGTGTGTGTGTGAGTGTGAGGGTGCTGTGAGTGTCAGGGGTGCAGTGTGGGTGCTGTGAGGGTCAGACGTGCAGTGTGTGTGTGAGGGTGCTGTGCGTGTCAGGGGTGCAGTGTGTGAGGGTGCTGTGAGTGTCAGGGGTGCAGTGTGTGAGGGTGGGAGTGTCAGGGGTGCAGTGTGTGTGTGTGAGTGTCAGGGGTGCAGTGTGTGTGTGTGAGTGAGGTGCTGGGAGTGTCAGGGTGCAGTGTGAGTGAGGGTGCTGGGAGTGTTAGGGGTGCAGTGTGTGTGCTGTGCGTGTTAGGGGTGCAGTGTGTGTGTGTGAGTGTCAGGGGTGCAGTGTGTGTGAGTGAGGGTGCTGGGAGTGTCAGGGGTGCAGTGTGTGCGCTGTGCGTGTCGGGTGCAGTGTGTGTGCTGTGAGTGTTAGGGGTGCAGTGTGTGTGTGTGTGAGGGTCAGACGTGCAGTGTGTGTGAGGGTCCTGTGAGTGTCGGGGTGCAGTGTGTGTGCTGTGAGTGTTAGGGGTGCAGTGTGTGTGTGAGTGTCAGGGGTGCAGTGTGTGTGAGTGAGGGTGCTGGGAGTGTCAGGGGTGCAGTGTGTGTGTGAGTGAGGGTGCTGGGAGTGTTAGGGGTGCAGTGTGTGTGCTGTGAGTGTCAGGGGTGCAGTGTGTGTGTGAGTGAGGGTGCTGTGAGTGTTAGGGGTGCAGTGTGTGTGCTGTGAGTGTTAGGGGTGCAGTGTGTGTGTGAGAGTGTCAGGGGTGCCATGGCAACGCTCCGAATCTCGCGAGAGGAACCCGGCGGAGCTGTAAGTTAAAGCTCCACCAGGTTCCTCTGCTGGCAGACTGGCTCCCTCCCTCTCTCCCCGCCGGCCAGCTGTAGACTACTGCAGGGCCGGCATTCAGATAGCGCCGGCCCTGCAAAGACCGGCAGGAGAGATCCTGGGACCTCCCCTGCCGGCCTCGGCCACACGGCCACCGCGGCCCACCAGGCATTTGCCCGTTGTGCCCGATGGCCAGTCCAGGCCTGAGCGGGAGAAATTCACTGAAAGTTGGGGGGGAGCCGACTTGACAGTGGGGGTGGAGCCAACCCCATCCCTTTTGACTGTGGCCTTCCCCCTACATATTGTCCCTAGAGTTGCCACTATGTCTGCATGTGTGTCAATGTGTATCTGTGTGTCTGTATATCTGCATGTGTGTCTGTGTGTGTGTGTATGTGTGCATACATCTCAAAATCTCACCAACACTACGCACAAATACAATCATACATTTTATGTTATGTTCCTATGGAGATATCTTAAGATAGAAGGCCTCATAAAGGAGTCTGCAGAGGATAAACGATAGAACCAGAGGAAAGAAATATAAAATAGGAGATAGAGAAGATGCAGGGCCGGTGCAAGGATTTTTGCCGCCCTAGGCAAAGGTAAAGTTTGCCGCCCCCCCCCATGTGACATCACCCCCTGTCAATTTCTTTCTCCCCCCTTCCCTACATCTGTGTTATGCTACAAGGGGTTTTAGAATTGGAACTCAACTGCAGCTTGTAGAACTCCTTAATTACAATAGCAAGAGAGCTGAGAATTATTAAGGATACTGTAGCTTTAAAGCAAGTGATGGTTGCAGGCAGTTAGTGAAGAAAGCGAAGACTTAATGAATGCAATAATATTTTAGTAACTGAGTATTATAACATGCAAGTAACAATTCATTAGGATGTAACTGAAGATTATAGCAAGCAAGAAACAGTTCATTAGTAATAAAATCTTCAGAGGAAGAAGTGAATAGTATACTTAAAATTGATGGGAGTTGTCCTCCATGGGAATGTATAGCTTGAATCCAAGGGATGAATCATATACACAGAACTACAATTGTTGGGGAACTAGAAAGGGAGTTAAGGGAAATAGAAGAGCAGAGGGATGCTTATGGAGTAAAAATAACAACTTCAAAACATAATAATGGACTATAAAAATTAAAACAAAGTTAGAAGGGATAAAAGGAGTCAGAGACATTGCCAAAATATATCCAGATCTGGATATGTTCGTGGCACAAAATAAAGAACCAGTGCCGAAAATGAACCAAGATAGAAAAGAGTTCTTATGTTATTCTGTTCCACAAGTAGATACCGTACCACAAGCACCAGTTATTGTATCAGAATTATTTAATGCAAGGCAAGCACCTACAGGATTTTCTATGCAGACTCGACCGATGTCTATGGCAGATAAAGACAATTTCCAGAAATGGTGGGGAAGTATGCCAACTAACAACTGTAATACGTTTACACATTGGTTTATGAGGGGAGCAGATAGAGCTAAAAAAGGAGGTCTTAACTTAGAGGAATGGACAGAACTGTTAGAATACACTATGGGTCCTTTGGCTAGTAGACTATTGGGATTTAATAACAGTGTGTCTGATCAGGCAGGAAGAATTGCTGCAAGGATGTTCTATCTACTCAGCATAGAGAAAGAAATAGTTAATATTATGATGAGGCCAGCAGATGGTCCTAGAGAGGTAGCTTAAAGGATATTGTTCTACACCAACCTCAACAGCCTCTGGTCTTGAGCTCACCAGAACACATTGCTAAAGTAATGGAAGCCCTTCCCTGGGAGTGTCAAGAATTTGTGAGGCTTTTTGATCCAACACCAGCAGACTTAGAAATGGTACTAACTAGAGCTGACAATTGGTGGATCTATAATTCCTGTGCTCCCCTTTCCTACTTCAGATATCATAGTTTAGATAGATAAGAGGGATATATTATTATTTTTAAATGTGCTCAACAAAAGAGAAGAAAAAGTGAGGGAATGTGGTGACATTCTGTCATCAAACTAATATGGTGACCAGGGGTCATGTGACCAAGCTCATGTTTGCCTTTCTTACAGTGGGATACCCTTTTGAAATGGTAATTGGGTAATTCAGATAACTACTTCCCCCTTTCTCCATTCCTCTCTGTTCTTTCTTGGCTGTGCTGCAGAGCAGATGTGCAGGCGCCATGTGCTAGCATGGTGAACCATGTTACTCTCTGTTGCTTCCTTTTCTTCCTTGGTGGATGTGATGTTGAACTTGCAGCAGTGAGCCATTACTAGATGTGAAGGCCTAACCGTGGGTGAGATCAAACATGTGGGGAAGGGGTTACTATATAGATGGATAGATTTAAAAAGGGTTGTTGCTCCGTGGGTCTGGGCTGTGTGTTTGTGATACATTTATAGTATTGTGTTGTTGCCTTTTAATAAATACCTTTTAATGTAGACGAACCTTGTGTAATATTAATTTGGTGATACACCACATACCCGGCCAGACTAAAAGGAAGTGCACACTCAGTGCTAGTCCGGCCGGGTACAGGAGACAAATGTTCTCTGTACCCGCGAACCATAAAGAGCTCGGCCCCTCTCCTCATGCTGCGCCCGAGTGGTGCTACCTCATGGACGCACCAGCCCGGGCAAAGCTGCAGCCGCCTGAGCCTCTCTACAGAGCGCTCGGACCGCTGCAGCATGAGGGGGGCCTGTGCTCCTGGCGGCCTAGTCCGCCTAACAGGTAGCACCGGCCCTGAAGACGATGGTCGCTGTAACGGACCGTTTTGCAAAAAAGGGGTAAAAACCGTTTAGGCGATCGGCCCCCTTTCCAGAGATGCAGGCACAGCTACTGCAGAACACCAAACACACGAACCACCAATAAGTGAATGCTCCGAACTGCATACAAGGGAATACTCCAAACACCCGAACTGCATACAAGGGAATGCTCCAAACACCCGAACGGCATACAAGGGAATGCTCCAAACACTCGAACGGCATACAAGGGAATGCTCCAAACACTCGAACTGCATACAAGGGAATGCTCCAAACACTCGAACTGCATACAAGGGAATGCTCCAAACACCCGAACTGGAACCTCATGAATAGCTGCTAGCAGACGAACAGGAAAAGCACCCAAGTGGCTTACGCTCCTGGCAATCAGTCTCTATCAGCATACAGTAAATCCCCCCAAAGACGAGACAGAGCTCTGTGTTGAGGGTCAAGCAGTGGTCTGTTTAATGAGGGCTACCTGCCCAGTATTTATGCAGGTCTCCCACCTGGTGGACACTCCCCTAGGGGACCAAATGGGAGACTGTGACAAGGGACAGACAAGCAGACAAATAGGACACACAGTCACAATATATTCCCACAATGCATCCTGGCTTCCTCCCCTCTGCCCTGGGAGATAATTGAGAAGTAATTCAATTATCTCCCAAGACAAAGGCAAATCTCCATTATGCACATGGGGATACTAAAACAAGCATTACTGTTAAAATACACCAGGTAAGACACATTACATTAAAACTATACATTTAACATATCCCCAGATAGCTCAGGTCTGAGCGCACATTATTAAGTGAATGGCACTCAGACCACACGAATACAGCTTTTCTGCAGGCGAAACAATGTCTTTTAACAGGAGGCCATAGTCCAGAGGCAGCAGGCGAGCAACCAGGCTTCTCCAATGCAATGTGGCGAGATTGGTCTTGTCACATCTCTCCCCTTTTCCAAACAGACTAACAGGGTATCTGACCTCCTGCCGGGTTAGTCCAGCAGCCCACCCACAAAACACAATCAACAGCACAGCCCACCCACAATAAATGGTTACTACACCTGGGTAGAGGAGAAGCTTGTCCATGTCCAGGTGCCTCACCACGGCTGTGCTGGGTATGGGTACGCTGACTTGGTGGGTTGCTGTGTGGGCAGAGACCAGCGGCACTCTGCCCTGTTGCCAGCACTACTGGGAGGGTAGCCTGGTTGAAGCCTGGTTGTTGGAGGGGGAGACCGACTGTCTCCCCTTTAGACACACCGCCCTGCTGCTGGAGACCGACTGTCTCCCCTTTAGGTACACAGCCCTGCTTCTGGAGACCGACTGTCTCCCCTTTAGATATACAGTCCTGCGGCTGGAGACCGACTGTCTCCCCTTTAGATACACAGCCCTGCTGCTGGAGACCGACTGTCTCCCCTTTGGACACACAGCTCTGCTGCTGGAGACCAACTGTCTCCCCTTTGGCTAAACAGCCCTGTTGCTGGGGGGCAGAACCGACCTTCCCTACCCCCTGTGCTGGACGTGCAGAGACCACGGTCCCATCTGCACAGTTGTGGGGCTTACTGTCTCCCCCTGGTACATTAAGCTGCCGCTGGGGAGAGGGGGTAACAAGCTCCTCTCCCATATATACTTCCAGCCGCGGGGAAGGGAGACCGACTGTCTCTGCTCCCAATACAGAGTCCTGCTGCTGGGTAAAAAGGAGACTGGGCTCTCTATTCCTGGTAGGACACTCTGCCGCTGGGGAATGGAGACTGGGCTCCCACTTCCCTGTTTTATCTCCCGCTGGGGAATGGAGACGGGGCTCACAATTCCCAATAATCTGTGCTGCCGCTGGGGAATGGAGACTGGGCTCACAATTCCCAAAACATCATACTGCCGCTGGGGATCTGAGCCGACTGCCCGGCATCCCTGTAGCTCACCCTGCCACTAGGGAGGGAGGACGCTTCTCTCCTCTCCCTGTAAGGAACACTGCCGCTGGGGGACAGGACCACTTGTCTCTGCCCCCTGTAACTCAGCCTGCCACTGGGGAACGGAGCTTGGGCTCCCAATTCCCTGCAATTCACTCTGCTGCTGGAGGACAGAAGCAACTATCTCTGTCCCCTGTAACTCAGCCTGCCACTGGGGAATGGAGCTCAGGCTCCCAATTCCCTGCAATATCTCCCGCTGGGGAATGGAGCTCGGGCTCCCAGTTCCCTGCAATATCGGTGGAGAGACCTCAGTCCCATCTCCACCCGCCACCTGGGGTTCTTCCCAGTAAATCTCAATAATGTCTGCATGGATCTGGATCTGGGTCTCCGCTTTCCTGCTGAGCCTTCTCACTAGAGTGGAACAGATCTTGGTAGCCCTGCTCCAGCTCCATCTCTCGGGTCACCTGGTGGACCAGGTCTTGCTCAATTTCGTGAGTGTCGTCCCAGTCATACCTGCTCTCCCTCCACTCCAAGAGATCACTGAACCGGGCTTGTGTAGGGCTCCCAAACTCGGGCTCTGCAAAAGACTCCCATAACAAGCCAGGACCATCAAACTCCTCTCCCTCTGGCTTGTCATGCTCGTCCAGGGCTGGTACTGTGCCCCATACCACCAGAGCGCCTGGTAGGCATCTTCCAGCCAAATCTCCTGCCATACTCGGAGCTCCAATTCCTTCACCCATTCATCTAGGGGCTGCTCTCCCAGAAAGGGCATCCGCAGGGCTACTCGCTTCTGCAGTCGCTGGTCTTCCTTGGGGAGTCTCTCGCCCCGCTGGTACTCCACCATACCCAGTGCCTGGTACCAGATGCCTTTGCGCAGCGCATCTCGGTCATCCAGGGCACCCTCGTCATACTCCACTGCTGGTTCCATCTTGGTGCTGTCAGGGTCGCTGTACTGGGACATGCGTTGCCCTCAAATTGTAAAAATCCACGGAATGGTGTCGCCTGTAGCTGTCCTGTAGTCTATGGGAACGATCCCGCCGCTTGCCACCAATTGTAACGGACCGTTTTGCACAAAAGGGGTAAAAACCGTTTAGGCGATCGGCCCCCTTTCCAGAGATGCAGGCACAGTTATTGCAGAACACCAAACACACGAACCGCCAATAAGTGAATGCTCCAAACACCCGAACTGCATACAAAGACAAAGGCAAATCTCCATTATGCACATGGGGATACTAAAACAAGCATTACTGTTAAAATACACCAGGTAAGACACATTACATTAAAACTATACATTTAACATATCCCCAGATAGCTCAGGTCTGAGCGCACATTATTAAGTGAATGGCGCTCAGACAACACGAATACAGCTTTTCTGCAAGCGAAACAATGTCTTTTAACAGGGGGCCATAGCCCAGAGGCAGCAGGCGAGCAACCAGACTTCTCCAATGCAATGTGGCGAGATTGGTCTCGTCACAGTCGCCGTTAGTGTTAAGCCTTCTGATATATCAAATGGAAGGCGGTGGGGGAGGAGAGAGCAGACAGAAGGGAGCTCCTGCAGCACAGCCCCATGAATTCTAAATGAGTAACAGTTCAGTCAGTCAACAAACTCACTTTCAGTCCAGGGTTCCCAAATCTTTTCAAATGTATTTATAGAGTTCCTCACCTGTGCCGTCAATTTATATACCTGTAAGGTAGTTGTCTTTTATTTTGTCTATTACAGTTGAGATAGAGGGGGTAGGAGGCTTGAGCCAGTCCTGGGCCATGGCTCATCTAGCTGCTAGGGTGATTTTATGAAGAAGTTTTTGTTCCATCCTAGTCCATTCATCTAGTGTTCTATTTACCAGGCATACCCATGGGTTCATGGCAGGTCTACGGTTGAAAATCTGTGCTAGAATATCTCCTACTTTGTCCCAGAATGTTTGAATCTGAGGGCAATCCCACCATATATGAAGATACGTGCCTCAGAGGACACAACTTTTCCAACAGAAGTCTGTTGGGGTTTGTTTGATATGATACAGTTTCACTGATGTAGTATACCAGCGAAACATGGTTTTAAAGCACTGCTCCTGTAATGTGACACATATGTGGCATTCACTTCTCATATTTCCTGCCATTCAATACCTTCTAATTCTTCCCCTAAATCAGTTTCCCAATGTGAGATGTAAGACATTTGTCCCCACTCTGTTGTTTCTTAGCAGAGGTGAGCGTATAGAAGAGTAATTAGACCCCTCAACGGCATCTCACTCAGACACAGTCTCTCATAAAAGGACATGGTAGTGTGGGCCACCTCCCTGACTCACGTTTTATTGGCAAAGTCTTTAATCTGGAGATATCTGAAGAAATCCTTTGAGTTGAGAGTTTTTCGGGCCTTTAGAACATCACAGGAAATTATCTGGCCCTGATGGAAAAGATGGCAAAATCTGTCAAGGCCTGCAGTTTCTATTTTTTTAAATTCCCGGGCACCCATTCCCGGAGGGAACACCCAGTTTCTCAAGATTGGGGTGAGTGGTGAGGGAGAGGAGGACAATTTAAATCTGTGAGCCGACAAGTCCCATATTCTGAGGGAATTCAGTATGGCTGGGCAGGTGGACCATAATTTTGCTCTGTTTTCCTTAGGAACCCACATGTAAAACTGGGGGAGATCTGCCCCCATCAACAATGACTCTGTCAACCCATTTCCTTACATCTAACTGGACATTGCAATTT